AACTGTCCCTTACACACCTGGTGAGAGGGGAGCAGGGTTGTCAAGGCGACAAGCGTCGTTACTATGACGACCAGCGTTACCAAGGCAACGGTTGCACAGAGCAGCCTCGACGAAGACGCCACCCAGCAACATGTGGGACATTTGTGACCATCTGTGTTGGCAAGAGAAGAATTTTCAAGAACTGATCTGTATAAACTTGTCGTAACTTTTATACCCTTTGTCCGAAAATGGCTAGTCTTACAGGGTTCATGCTAAAGTAAAATACATATCACAGATAATATGGTAAAAGAACACACATATGGTGCAAAATGAAATTTACAAACGAAAGGAACATGATATACAAACCAATCACAGAGTTATGATATTTTTATACATTTTGCTCTTTGAAGGTAGATGGACTAAAAGTGTTTTGCTTTGATGTGCAGTGGTAATTTGTGCTTAAGTTACAATATGTGCAGCATAGCACTATCCATGTCTTTGTGTAAGTGAAAACACACAAAAAATACAGAAATGTTTAATCACATGAACGCATTGTAAAGATCTGTTGGGATGAAATCTTTTCCAAGAAACTGTTATGATATACATAAATGTAAGTAATCTGTCTTCTACTCGCTGCCATGGCAACGAGCATAAGACAGGTGACGTCATCAGTGCTTTCAGGGCACCACGCTTCCAAACGTGCGGAAAAAGTGAAATATCAATTATTTCTAAAATCATCGAAAAATGTTTCTCTTACCATGACTGCGTTTGTTATGTTCTTAAACGAATTGAAGCCATACAATAAAGTGATCAGATGAATAGATCAGCAATAAACAATTGTGTTTAGTCCAATTGTAGCCGGAAATTATACTTTCACTGTCATAACGACAACTTTGATTGTTTTGCAATATGTCTTAAACTAGTTACGTATTTTTTATTTAGTTTGCACGTCAATAAAGTATGTAGAGATTGAAAACAAAAAAAAAAACAAATAAATGTTGCCTAAGGAGAGAACTTGACAGACCTAGAACTGACCTTTTCGTTTTTTTTTATTTCAACATTTAAACAAAACAAAACATAGTGGTGACGCACTCAAACGAAATAGCTTATATTAACGTCACCACTGGTCATAAAATGATAACTACAACATAAGGAAAAATATCAAATAGGTCAGGTCCGATGTACAGGAACAGAATTAAACAAAACTCACCTTGCGGCTGAGGGACGCCCTTCTTTGCCTGAGTGCGGTCCCCATTTCCACCTATACCCTGATCCAAACTAGCTTCTTCTGGCCGAATCACGATCGCGACCGCCACAGCCTCCTCGTACACGTTTTCCCGCCGGCTTGGCGAACACTCGCCCTCGGTCGTGAACTCTCCAGGACTGAAACGCCGCGCGGGCGGCCTTACCGGCTCCGCTACCGAGTAAAGATTACTAGTATGCCTTCCCTCGCAAGAACCGGGCTCGCCCGTACGCTGATGTCGGTTTTCAAAAGGTCTAACATCCATCGCCCGACTGGGGTTCACTGGGGAACGCTCCCTCTCGGCCTTCGCCTCTTCAGGACTGAAACGCCGCGCGGGTTGCCTTACCGGCTCTGCTACCGAGTAAAGATGATGCCTTCCCTCGCCCGAAACGGGCTCGCCCGTGCGTTCTCGGTTTTCAAAAAGTCTAACATCTCGTATCGCTCGGCTGGCATTGACCGGTTCGGCTTGATAGTAAACATTTGCATTCGCCAAGGCTCGAGCAAGCTTGTTGTCGTCCATATTGTTTTGTTGTAGGCACAACGAGACTGTTTTGCTGAGTTGACTACATATGTATATCGTAGTAATTGTCTGGCATAACGTGTGACTAGTGACATACCATGCAGGTCGGCCTTTTGATGATTACTAGTAGCCAAGTCAGGATGGTTGCAGTTTTTAAAACCATCTACAGGAAGGCGAATTTAGCAAGTTAAACATACGAAATTTGCTCCTGTAGTAAAGGGCAACCAACCAATCAAAATCATGACCCCAGCATACCAAAAACCTTAACTACTGCTGCAGTACCAAGGAAAGCCACCAGGGGCCCTAAAATTTATTCAACTTCTCGACCCGTCAAGACCTGACCACATGCCAGTTTTCATGGCAGTCCATCCATAGCTTCTTGAGTTACGGTGCTAAACCACATACATACACACAAACATACGTCCAAACAAACGCTACCCAAGATGTAACCTTCTAGGCGAGGGTAATGATTAGTCTCCACCAGACTCCTTTTGCAGGCTGAATAAATCGTAGAAATCGGCCTAAAAAGGGGATATAATTGGCCAAAGAAGCTACATTTGGCTGCGGGCCGGCTACCTTCTCTGAACAATTACATCCCCTTTTTAGGCCGATTTCTACAATTTATTGAGCCTGCAAAAGAAGTCTGGTGGAGACTAGGTAGGTAATGATATCGATATCTGCCCTTGTTATACTCAATCTCCAAGCAGATGTTTAGAATCCGGCTTATTTTGACGTGCTTTTAGGGGTCTTTATTACCTTCGCCAAGAAGGTAATGTTTTCAGAGGCGTTCGTGTATGTGTGTGTGTGTGTGTGTGTGTGTGTGTGTGTGTGTGTAAACACGATACGGCTTTGACATATCGTGATCTGGACATGCTAGGGTCACGAATTTTGGTAAGCTCTTAGGCTAGGGAAGATTAGTGACATGAGTTAATGTCCCCTAGCTTGTTGTTTTGGAACTGCAGGAGCGTTAGATGAAAAATCTTCGAAGGAGGATCTGCTTGGAGATTGCCCTTGTCCGTGCCGTGTCAGGAGCACTTGAAAATCCATGCAACCGTGACTCAGCCGTTGTGCCCAGGCCGGTTCTAACCGCCTGTGACAGTCTGGTATGCCAGAGTTCATCTAGAGGTCGACTCAATGGGTACAAAAACAAATAAACCTTTACCATGTAACGCGGCGTTATACTATTGCCGGAAGTAACAGATATACTGCCCCAGGCCATAAAACATTCCTGATCGAACTGATCGAACACCTCGTTCTATTTAGAACAAGAACCGCTCGGGAACTTCCTAATCGAACACGTCGAACCCCCTGTCCTTTCTATTTAGAACAGGGGGTTCGACGCGTTCGATCAGGAACGGTATATTGTCCTATCATCTAGCCCAAAGCAGTGTACGTGACTGCTTTGGGCTAACATAGGACAGCAAAGGAAAGATCTCGTAATGTGCAACAGCTTTTCCCCATCGACGTCTGGTGGTCTGACTGACACTGACATATTTGCATGGGTTCACCCATGGGTCCGCCATAACCTCTACCAGGCTTGTTTGTGAGCTTGAACCATTCTCTATTCGTGATTAGCTCAAATCGGCCTGAAGGTCACTTTTCAATTGAGGTCACGATGGAAGAGGTAAGGGTCAGAAAAAATAAAACAAAGAAAAATATGTAACAGTTTGCTTGAAAAATAATAGAAATCTAACCTTCGTTAACGTTAACGTTAACGTGGTCGATGAAGGTTAGAACTTAGACATTCATGTATTATGAAATACACAATGTCAATCACAAAATATCAATGACAAAATGTATCCGGTTGCTTGAGTAATAACCATATTGTAGTACGGAAGAGGAAATAATTCGTATATCAACCAGTAAACTATGTAAATGAAATATACTTTAATACGCATCGTTTAGAATAAGTAAGATGGACAAAATGGGCACGCAATTTCAGGAATGAGTCAGTGATAACGAAATCTACGTTCAAGTTGCGTCAGTGCAGTGCGCGTTACACCACACACACTCCTGATTTCGACATGACAACCATTCAAACTGCACATGATTAAGTTTTATATTCATATAGGGGAGTTTTTCTCGCGAAAGTTGGGCCCCAAAGTCCAGACTTTGCAGACAAAAGACTGCTGTACATTAAGCAAACTTGGCCTAATTTTCTATAAACAGTGTTTCATTACATTATTGACATGTATGTTTACTTGTTAGCGGCGACACCCCTATAAGTTATACGATAAGTATATGTAGTCTTGACGTGCAAGTTAGCCTTCAGTATTGTGTATGTAGTTTTCAAACATTTGCATAAATTATTGGCATTATCAAATATATTTCTGGTCACTGAACTAATATTTCAAACCACATTTCAGGCCACAACACTGTTACGTTAAATGGTTAAATAAACACGTTTGTAAATAGTAAATACCTTATATGAAATTGAACGTATTTTTACAAATACTAATTGATTGAGTGCTACTCTTTCTAATTTTGGGAACGGCTTACGGAAGATTAGAGATCTAAAACAACGCTAGCGTCTTCAATTTCGAGCTTTGAGATCCATTATGCACTTCGCGATTGCGCAACCCCGGCTCCAGTAGTAGCAAACGCGACTACCAAATTATGCATCGTCCCACATAACGTACCCGGGATGCCAAAACTAGTATCGGGCCGTTAGCCGTTTTCCTTCGGCAGCCAAGGGCCCTTCGCCGGCCTATCTAAATTACCGCTACGGGGGAGTTGAGCCCGAGGGGTTTGTCCGGCCCTAGTAGTAGGGCCAGCCAAACTCCCCCCGGGCTAGACTCCCCGCTAGACTAGTTCTGGCTTCCAGCGTAGGGTCATAACGGTGCTCATGTGAAACAGTGTCACCATTCCTGGCCAGTTTCACTGGTAGTTTTCAAGGTAAACTAACTGTAATCTCCAAGCAGATCTTTTGGTGCGTGGCTGCAAAGACAGTTTCAAGTTGGCCAGCCGGTATCCATTTGCCAGACAGTTACCGTGGCAAATAGTATAAAACTGTCTGGCAAATGGATACAGCCTGGCCAATTTCATAATCATACTACCTTTGCAACCACAAAAAGATCATCTGCTTGCAGATTAAGGTATCAAACTGTGCTAAATAATACATCCAGACGGAAGAGACCTTGCAGCAGACGACATCCCCCCTCCCCCCAAAATTAATACTATGATCACGAAGCACAGACTCAGTGGTTGTCATGAACAAAGAAATACAGAGATCGTAGCTACTCGAAAACGAAATCTTACCTTTTCATCTCTCACTGGTAGTCGTGTGAGGTTTCCCTGAAACAATCAACTCCTGTGTCCTTAGACCTACGAACCGGTAGATTTCCCCAACCTAACCCCTCACTGATCACCGTGTAACTGTACATTTATAGCACGACCTGTAGTACATGTACATTTAGCTATCAAAGGTAGCGGTGTATGTGATAACCTTTGCATGACACAGCACACAGCAGGTCAGCTGTTACTTTGGAGCATACCACTTGTATGGAGGGGTGCGGCGACAGATTAACAAAACTGACGCGTGAATCAAAGTGTATCATTGCCATCGTAAAGCCCATACTTAGTGTAAAAATACGCTAAATCGTTAACAAGATTGATTGTCCAAAATAAAAAAAAAATGCTTATACAAAATAATCTCCGATTTTGACCCCCTTTTGTGGGCGAGAATGGATAGTTCCGGTATTGCATCATAGCCACAGGCGCGGGCTTTCCACGTGATGACCTAATTTTCCAGCTAGCAGAAGTTTCGCAATGGCTGTGCTTTATTTCATTGGCCCTAGCCTCCACCAGGCATATTCTACGGGGATACGGATCGTAGAATTCGGCAAAAAAAGAGAGTAAAATTGGCCAGGGAGTCCGGCCGCGGGGAGGTAGTTTCTTTCCCAGTCAAACCTACAAGGCGGCCAAACTCCACTGACAAATATTCTCCTATATTAGCATATATAGCCAGCGTAGTTAGTCTGGCCCCCCTCTTATAAAGAAGAAAGAAGTCCCGGCCATTGCTTGCAGAGTAAAACTATTAATGGTCAGGTCACATACTTAATTTCTGGACAGAAATCTATTACTATACTATTTTTGTGTTTTTTTCTCTCTCTCAAAATTCGCCATTTTTCAACACCTGTTCAGCAATCGGTAAAAAAAACAAAGAAAAGAAGAAGAACAAAAGACACAAAAGGGAACAAAAAAGAGGTATATGAAAAACGGCCTGCACCGCTGCAGGGCGATTTGAACTACTCATGAATAAACAAATACACACAAGAACTAAATACACATTTTACGTAGTAGAGGGTGATAAGGGGTCAATAGAACAAAGGAATGGCCCAGAGGCTGACCCGGTATAAGGCCACACCAATTTAATTTGTTGGTTGTCGGATTTTTTCAGAAAAAATATGAAGCGACAGGGCGAAAAAAACAGGTCTAGGTGTCCTATTATAGCCACAAATGCTACAATAGGAGCCATGAATTCAACACAAAAGGCTGGGTTAATATTTCAAGAATGAATTTTAAACTTTTAAACAAACCACTGCATTGATAGACGGGAAAACTGTTACAACTAGGCAGACAAGGACTTTCCTCAACTGTTGGGGGTAAAATATGAGCTTTTTTTATTTGGTTAAGAGAACCAGATTTTTTTTGCAAATAAGAGAAAATGAATAGGCGAATCCGAGAACCAACAAATAGAATTGGTGTGGCCTAGAGTTTAGAATGAACGGGGGTTAACGTTGTAGCGTGTACTCTTGTAGTCGCTTTAACTTCTATTTATATAACTTCGGATCGATGGATTCGCTTCAGACTTGGTATGAATAAATGGG